GGAGCCGAAGGACGAGTACAGAGAAGAGGAGGAGGAGGACAACAACGACCAAGAATAAGAAGACGAGGAGGAGGAGGAGAAGGACGGCGAGGAGGAAAAGGACCGCGAGGAGGACAAGGACGACGAGGAGGACAAGTACGACGAGGAGGACAAGGACTGCAAGGAGGAGGAAGAAGAAGAAGAGGAGGAGGAGGAGGAAGGAGGAGAAGGACGACGACGACGACGGTGATGAGAGAAGGATGGGGAAGAGGAGGGAAAGGCGGAGGAGGAGAGAGATGAGAGAGACATGGAGGAGGAGGGTACACACCTGCACGGGAGTCGGAGGACACGTCGGGTCGTGGCGCCATCGCGACGCGGCAACGTCCGACTCCCACAACGTGCCCAAGTCGCGCGCAGGCGGAAGGCAGTACACAACAAAATTCGAATTTGGATTTGGCCCAATTTGGGTCGTAGATGTCTTAGATCTAACGCCCAGAGCGTAGATGTCTTAGATCTAACGCCCAGAGCGAACCACTTTCATTTTCGAATTCGGAGGCCCTACCGGCCTCACGAAAACGACGCATCCTTCCCAGGGGTATATCATACGCGAAATCACACCCCCGCAGGCCCAAAAAACCTTAAACTCCCCAATACAGATTTTTCCACCAGGCCGAACACCGGGCCCAGGTCGGACGACCGGGGGAGTTGTCCGATTTGACAACCCGAACCCAAAGAGGGTCCCGGACGTCCGGGCTGGCAACTTAGGGTCAAAGAGACATTAGAGAAGTGGAAGTTAGAGGATGTTGTTGCAGCATTGCTTGATCCTCGGCAAAAAGACTTGCTCGAACTTATCGATGTGTCGTTTTAACAAGCGAGGAGAGGAAAATCTTGCTTGAAAGAAATCACGCAGCAAGTTGCGGGAAAGGTTTTGAAAAGTTGGAAATGTCGAAAAAAGGATTCCGGCCCCCTTTGCCGATCATAGTTCCGTTCTCTCTGTGATGGCCTCAAGTTCGAAGACTGAGTGCAACTTCTCGGATGTTGGGAACACTATCACCAAGAAGAGGAACAGTCTCAATCCTTCAATCATCAATGATGTCATTTCTGTGACATCCAATAAAAACTTAAGGCAATACAATCTAGGAATTAAGTTGTTGTGGCTGTAGTGTAGTACGACCTCAGTCCAACTGATGTCGTTATTTTTTATGGTACTTCTGTATACTCAGACTATTGTACGTCGGATTTGCTAGTGTACTCTGCATAATCGTTTTTGGACTATGATACGAATATTATGATTACTTAGTGGGTTTTCAATATCTTGCTGGTTTCCGTGATTTATTTATGGACTAAAAAAATGTTTCTAATTCCTGATTGTCGACATGAGGGAAGCCTCAATTTCGCAGTGCTCTACAATTGTCTCTACTCATTGTATTTAGTGTGCTTTCACTTCTATGATGGATGCCTTCTTCAAGGATGTCACAATTCCTCGAAAAAAAAAAAAAAAACGACATATGGTGGAGGCAAGTGCGAGGCACCGGCCCTCAATTTGCCTTACAAGAGCTATTTTCCACTCAGTCGGCCGCCCTAACTGAAGGCAAGCACGACCAAGGCCCCAAGGCCATTTTGGGGTCACCACGCAACTGGGGAAAATTCAGGCAGTTGCGCAGCACCCGTTGGTTGGAAGCACCCAGGCCCAGACTGCCTTTCATTGTATGTAACTGAGGCAGGCTCTGGGCCGGATACACAATGTGGACCGAACAAAGGTTGAGGGCAGTTGGGTGCTGGTAACCACCACAAGCCCTAGGCCTGTTTACTTCGGACGGACTGAGGCTCAACCTCGTGGGGCCTACCGGAAGCTTCTGGACCAGGGCCCAGTACCGCATTACTGCACGCAGCCGCAGGCCCCTTCGATATAGAGAAGGGTTTGCCTACGCATTGGGGATTCGAGCACTGACTGCTTTGTGCGAAAGCGCTGCTGCGCTATTGCCTACCAGGCTCACGCGCTCACGAGCGAGCTGGAAGGAGCAGGCAGCCATAACCGAGCTGCGTTGCTATATGCTGGATGGTGCGCATGGTGGTCCTTGGGTGCAAGTGGCATCTGTGAGTTGGGGAACGAGGTTGTGAGTGATACGAGAGACATACCTGGTGCTTGACGGGTGCGGCATTGGCCGAGGTCTGCTCCTACTTGGGAAGCTGTTGACGTCATCGGCAGCATTGTAGTCTAGGCTAGATAGGATCTGCCATTCGCAGTCCTCGGGCCGAGCGCCAGATAGGATATCAACATTGGTTCTTCGTAGATGATGATGAGACAATTCCAGCATTGCCAATTATGAGCTTTTGGTGTGCTCTTATTTGGTGAAACTCGTGATGCAATTCTGCTTTTGGTTTGAGGTCACGACTATCTGGTCTCATGTGTACGATACTGTTTTATTGCTGAAGTTCGCTATTGCTCATCTTCCTTGCAATTCGGTATCGGAGTTGTGGTCCGGTGCGCTAATCTGGCGCTTATCTTCTCCCTAATGCGGTACATGCACACGGTGTGTTCGGTGAGCGACCGTGCCGAGGAAGTGTGTAGTGAGGAGGGCGAAGATAAGTGGCGACCCAGGAGGTGAGGGGTATCGCCAGGAAGGCTGTGTGGTGATTATTGGGTGTTCGCGGTGTGATGAGAACTATCCGGTGTGTGGTCGATGCTGAGGTGGAACGGTTGTGCAATGCTGGTTGTGCCGAAGCAGCGATTGGTCATCACGATCAACATCGGGTCATATGGTGAGAATATTTGTGGTTGGGGGCAGCTATTTTGAGGTACGTTGCACCTAACCTTATCTACCCTCTTCGACACTTCTTACCGTGAGGAGGATGTGTTCTCTCTCGAGAGTCCTCTCATGTGAGGAGTCGTGTGCGCTCAACCTTGAGAGTCGCCAACCTACACGTGGAGCATTTGGAAGGAGAGGGCGGAGCTATCTGAAGGGCCCTGGACGAATCACTAGGTCACGGTCACCATGCCAACCCACTGGGAGTAGAGCACTCCTGCTTTGCTGCTTTGTCCTTTGTTTGCTCGCTGCGCTGTAGAGGGGTTCTGAAGGGCAGGCCAGCCCTAGGGGACAGACGAGACCGGGCGTCTATAAATAAGCACCAGTGAGATACCTTCCATTGGCTGTGATCGTCGTCCTGTTTGCGGCGTTAAAGAATTCCTGAGGACTTCGGGGGCCGTCCATAATAACGCCTCCTGATCAGCCAATCGGTCGGTGCAAGGCTCGCTGCATGCGAGGATAAATAATGTGCAGGGCTGGCCAGCTCAGCAGGACTCGGGCACAGGGGTGGGCCGTGTGCACACCTTCAAACATGCACGCTATCAGGATTTCTCAGGGACATTGGCGACAAGAGACATTCAAGAAGAATTGAGGGAGGGGTAGATTCCAGGTGATAAGATCGGGTAAGATCCCATTTTGCAAACAGACCCAACAACCGATTCTACTTTTATTTTA